GTTGCAAGTTGCATGGAAAGAGCTTTATTTTCCATTATGCAGCAATAGCATCTTGATTAAAGTCACAAATCACCTGCCAGGAGTTCACCAGCAGTCTGGAATATTACTGCTACAGGGAACGGCTCGCGTCTTCTCCCAGGCTTCATTCATTAGAATTTATTACACAAGACACCCCTATTCTCTCTCTCTCTCTCTCTCTCTCTCTCTCTCTCTCTCTCTCTCTTTCTCTCTCTCTCTCTCTCTCTCTCTCTCTTTCTCTCTTTCTCTCTTTCTCTTTCTCTTTCTCTCTTTCTCCCAACTCAGAAGTATGAAAATCCGGGACGGAAGTTCAGTTCCAGGCTTTCCTGCTAATTTTCCTTAATGCAGCCCCACGGCTAAATGAGGGAAGAGCGCGGCGGCTGCTGCTGAGCCCGTGGCGGTGTTAAATTCTGGTGTGGGTGCAGACGCCACGCTCCGGTCCTTCCCACCTCCACCACCATCTTCCTGCAGGGTTGTACAGTTGTGGTGTTGCATTATATCAAAGCATAGTAGCAGCATGAAGCTGTCTGCGCTGAATGGTAATTTCCTGCTGACTCAGCGCGCTGCGAGCAGCAGCACATTCATACGGCGGTTCTGCCGGGACCCGTTAAAAGCTGGGGAAAAGGCGGAGTGATTGAAGAGTGCTTGCATGATGTGTGTGTGTGTTTGGAAACAGCAGCAGTAGCCTTTTATTGTGTGAGGCCAAAGTAATCTGAAGTTTTCTCTGATGTAACGACGACATACGTTTAACAACCCGGTTCCATTAGGATGAAAACTGTAAATTCTTAGAGGATTTTTTGTTTAACACTAAAATCTAATCTGGCCCTGTTAAAAAGGGGGAACATTTTGACCAGAAATCCATCAATAATACTGTTTAGTGCAAGGAGCAAAGGAACAGCAACACGGCTGATGCTGCGCTGCGTTGTCTTGACAACAGCCGTTTCATCTGAAAAGGATTAACAGGTTGTGCAAAAGGGATTGCAGCATCTAAAAGTCTCAATGTTACGGTAACAGCAAAGCATTCGTGCTTGTTTCTTTTACTGTAGTGATTAAAAACATGCATGAACCTCATAGCAGGGAGGGCTGGTGAAGGTGTAGCAGAAGTAAAACCACACACGCACACACACACTCTCCTCTGTGTTGCTGTGTTTATCTGCGATTTCATTTTATCCCTTCCAGGACTTATGAATAATGCACATTTTTCTGCGTGATGGTGGTGATGATGAGAAGGTGATGAGAGACTGGGAGCTGGTTTCAGGGTGCTGGTACCTGCAGAGGTCTAAATTTTGTTCATGCCCCGTGGCCTTTCTGCACACACACACTTCCTGCGAGCACACACACATGAGCTTGATGTTCCCACACTCTTTGTTGGAGCTGGAGGCAGCCCCAGGTTTGTGTTCCCCGAAGCCTCCTCGTGTTTGGGCGGTCACGCTCGCAGGTTGAAGTCCCCCAGGACTCTGTTCATGTCTCATGCGTAGGTGGAGATGCTCGAGCTCCTCCATATGCTTGTTCCCACGCACGGTGACAGTCGCATGAGGACGGTCCAGCGTCCTGCCGTCACGCAGGGTTTTGTGCCACTCAGCAGAATCAATGTTGGCGTTTTTAGCACCAACCATATGCATCCTAATTTTAGTCTTCCGTGGCCTCGGCGCCTTTATCATGATCCCTGTGCTTCATTACATCAATACCGGTTAAGCTGGTGGTGTCCCACACTGATGTCTCAAAAGAAGTCCAAATAAAATGCCAGCCAAGAGGACGCACCCAAACGCCCACACACACACGCACGCACACACACACACACACACGCGCGCGCGCACACACACTTGGTGTGCGTTATCAGCCGTTCTGATGGGAGAGCCACCTGTTTCACCTTGCTGCCATTTTCCCTGCTGCTCTTTCTCTAATCCCAGAATTCCCTTCTTTTCACCTTTGACCTCTGCTCTCTTCCAGGTCCTCCTGAGCCAGGTGCATCGGCTGCGAGCTCTGGACCTTCTCGGGCGGTTTCTAGATTTGGGACCTTGGGCCGTCAGTCTGGTTTGTTCAGTTTGTGTTTAAATAATTGAATCTGTCAACATCAGAGACAATTCTAGAAGAAGCGAGCAGATCCAGATTAGGATATGACTTAGCTAGATTATTTTAGCTTGTCTTAGTGCAGCATAAACAGAATCAAATCGCTGTCCTCCAGCATCTCCCTGTTATCATGTTTTAATTAGCTCATTTAAAGGCATTCTATGCAACTTTTTTACATTTTATAATCATTTTCTTTCCTGTATGTGCTAAAATGACTCTTTCCAAGGTTAATGACATATCAGACCCCACTGTCCCCTGGAGCTAGAATATTGCACTTGCAACTTCAGAGTACCGGTCCTATCGCTGTTGGACCGGTGGAGCTGACGTACCAGCGCTGCAGTCTGCATTCAGCCCGTTTCATGCGTGTTTTAGATTGTAAACATCATGAATTTGTTTGATTTAGTGACGAACCGCTCTTGTAGAGACTAGTAAAGCCTGAGGAGCAGTTAGATTAAGGTGTTAAAAAGACAAACACATAGAGAGATAATTTTCACTTTTGTGTTCACTAATGGAGCACTAGGGGGTGCTAAAACCAAGGGGGCGGAGCTTGCTTACTCATCCTCTTACTTCCTGTAGAAACTTGCATTAAGAATTCATGAACTGATCAGAGACGGGCTGTGTGTCTAACACGAGTGAGAGCACACAGCTGCAGCTCTACAAGCTGCTGCTTTGGTCAGATAATCTAGTTAAATGTGATTTAACTGATGCCTGCTTTGGTGTTGTTGGTTTTTGTTAGATGAGATGATTTAAGTGTCAAACTCAAAGTTGGAGCCTGTTGTAGAAACATTTAAGAAGATTTTAGGATGAAATTAATTCAAGATTAGAGTAATTTCACTCCAAATCCATAAAAAAACAAGAAAATTGCTACTTTACAAATTTGAGCCAAATTTTATTTTGCCAACACCAGGCCATCATCACAACTACCCAATCACGTTGCAGTGATATCATTTCTTCCTACTTGATGCTACATTTCAGATTGATGTGTTGTGGGAGCTAATCTGGGATTACAGTTAGCTCTGTGTGTGTGTGTGTGTGTGTGTGTGTGTGTGTGTGTGTGTGTGTGTGTGTGTGTGTGTGTGTGTGTGTGTGTGTGTGTGTGTGTGTGTGTGTGTGTGCGTGCGCGCGTGCGTGTGTGTGTGCGTGTGTGTGTCCAGGCCTTATCTGTTGGGATCTTCCCGTACGTCTTAAAGCTGCTCCAGAGTTCAGCCAGAGAGTTGAGGCCGCTGCTGGTTTTTATCTGGGCTAAAATCTTGGCGGTGGACAGTGTAAGTTCTGCAAAACTCATGTTAAAGTCGTCCTGTTGTCTCTTGACAATGAAACTTTGATTATAACTTTAAAAGAATGTAAATATCTGAGCGTACGTTTCCTGAGTGATGAATGAACCCACTCATCACCTCTGTCTTTGCAGTCGTGTCAAGCCGACTTGGTAAAGGACAACGGGCACAAGTACTTCCTGTCCGTGTTGGCCGACAGCTACATGCCAGTGAGTATCAGCCCTCATGCTAAATAACTCCTAGCGACGTGCTGAGCTAAATCTGAGAGCTGCTTTTCTCTCTCAGGCTGAACATCGAACCATGGCGGTCTTCATCCTAGCGGTTATCGTCAACAGCTACAACACCGGCCAGGTACCAACACGTTTGTGTGCATGTAGGAGCTTGTGACAGATTATTAATTTACTCCTTCCTCCAGAACACCAGGTTCTTTAAGGCCAAGCTGTCATTTCTGTCACCTATTGTATATTTCTAGAAGATATTGGTTATGTGGCAGTCTTGTCACCAGCAGTTACCTCTGCAGCCTCCGTTTCTGTCCCATCCACCTCCGCGGTGGCACTTTATCACCACAGGTGTCACCTCCGTCTACACCCTCCCAAACACACACTCCCTTCTACAATCCCAGAAGCCTTTTCTGCCTGTTGCTGATCAAGCGCCTAACAATACGATGTAGCTCATCATGTCACTGAGCGCGCCCAGACGCACAAATGGCTCCCAAAAGGAAACATTTGCTCTCTCTGCAGTTATTTTTCCGTCTCGTTGTGGATGCTGTTGGACTCGTTTGTTCCCACTTCTGCGCCTCTCTCTGATATTAGAGTATGAATGTAAGGAATCAGAGGAGTGTGTGTGAGCACTGTCGGGGCTCAGAAACTCCTCCTTCATCCACTTCCCTGTGAAGTGAGAGCTGCTGCCTCTCCCACACGTTTGTGTAAATAATAGATGAGACTCTCCCTGCTTCACGTCTCCATCATCCACTTTATTTTATTTTCAACAACAGCATTCATTACTGCAGAGTCACGCTTCGTAATATTTGGTGTGTCCGCGCTTTGCTCGATCAGCGTCGTTCACGGAATGACGCGGATCGGACTGACGCACACGAAGAGCGAAGCTGCTGGCAGAGGATTTAGTTATCCTTCCACAAATAGTTGGCGATTAAAAAGGATTTCTTTAACTTTTATGTGCTTCCCAACAGAAGCTTAATCAGAGATACTTTTTTATGATAAACTTTCACACTTTTCTTTATTATTTTGTAATCCTAGCAAGAGATGTGCAGTAAATTGTCTGCAGATTTGAAAAAAAAGTCATTATGTTTCTCTTGCCTTAAAATGCGTGATGGATCTAAAATGACTAAAGCTGCCGCTTTTCCCCTGCAGCTAGTTAGTTTCATCGTTTTGCCATATTATCCCCAGCAGGGTGCTGTAATCTGTAACCAAGCCTTTTTTTTGGGGGGGGGGGGGGGACACTTGCATTTGATGTAAAAAATGTCTCTTGAAAACCTTTTGACATCAAACTGATTTTTCTTTAGCAAAAATGTAATAATTTAATCTAAATGCCGTCCAGGGACACCGTCCTGCATAAGTGTCTCCTCCTCGTAACACCTGATTTGAAACAAGTGAAGAAAAGGCTTCTGTAAAATATAAATAAAGTACACTGAACAGCTAAATCAAGTAATCGGGTACATTAAGTCTCCATTTAAATAAGGATGCACCGATCAGGTTTTTTGCTGCCGATCACCGATACCGATATCAAAGAATGCTGATCACCGATACTGATCACCGATACCGATCACGTGGATTGGCCAGAAATTTTCTACAACATTATAATGAGTGCTACAAACTAAGGAAAAGGCTTTACATAGCTGTTTGTGCCAAAGTTTAATGCTAAGAAATGATGGAGCTACAGCTGTTTAGGCTACGCATTATTGCCAAAACCTTCCACAAGCTGTCACCAGATTGTATTCAGTGAACGTGCGCGCTAGCGTGTCACACTGTGGGAATATTTAACACACTTCAGTTCTAATTAACATAACAAAAATGTATCATTTCATACTTTAAAACCTTAAAAAAACCTTTGATGTGACTTTTTATAATGCAGCAGCTCATCAAGGAATAAAAACAAAACATCTGAGTTCACCATGTTGGCTGTTATTGTAGAAGTTATTCAGATCAGCTATTTCTCTCTCTCTCTCTCTCTCTCACACACACACACACACACACACACACACACACACACACACACACGCACACACACACACACACGATGTATTTTCCAGCTTGTGACCATGTCAAATTTCTGGCAGCTCCTCAAAACAGGAAGCATAAAGACATCTGAGAGCAACTCAATCTAAAAAACATTCTATAGAAAGGAGAAATTCAGCGTTTCTGAATCTAATTACCTTTTGTTCACTGGAAATATTAGAAAAGATGTAAAGTCATACTGCTGCAAGCCCATAATCCTTTTTTGTCCACCTCACAGCAGGAGGTCACAGATTAGTGTTGATTTACTGACTAATGAGCCAGCGGAAACCTCCATGTTGCTCCACAGGATTAGACGGACCTGATGCGGATGTTTCCGTTAAACTTCTTCCCAAAACTTCCCTCTCTAATATGGAATCTCAGAGCTTTTCTCTCACTTCTACCGCCACAACAGGAAGCCTGTCTGCAGGGGAACCTGATTGCCATCTGCCTGGAGCAGCTGTCAGACCCCCACCCTCTGCTCCGCCAGTGGGTGGCCATTTGCTTGGGTCGCATCTGGCAGAACTTTGACCCGGCACGCTGGTGTGGAGTTCGAGACAGCGCGCACGAGAAGCTGTACACCCTGCTGTCGGACCCGATTCCTGAGGTGAGAGGTCAAACCCAGGACCTGAGGAGTTTCAGGTCCCACAGGCAGAAAACACGATTTATTTACAGCTTTAATATTGTAAAGATTTATATAGAAGGAAAGCAGTGGATGGAAAGCTAAGGAGTCTACAAGCCTCAGTTAGCAGGTTAAAGGTTAAAGTTCATGACGCTACAGATACTAGAAATAAAGTTTAATCTGAACAAATCACAAGACATTTGAGAAGAATGTTTTTCTGATGGATGAGTCCAAACTGGAAAAATTTCCCATAAAGCAAAGCAACACATTTGGAGAAAACTAAACGCATCATATCAGCACACACAGCTGATTACAGCTGTCAGCACGGTGGTGGAAGGCTGATGGTTTAGCTCTTTGCTCATTTGGTCGATCATGACCTCCTCTACTTCTAGAGTCAGACTGGATTTCTTCTGATGATGTTTGGACCAAACCGGGTTAAAAAACAGAACAAAGTCTAAAATCTACAACAGAAACAATCAAGATGCGGTAATATTATAAAAGCATGGCTGAACGCATCAGAATTCCACCAGAACCAGCCTGATGAACAAACACACAGGCTGGTCATTCAAATCAAATCAACTTTAATTGTAATTGAACCTTCTACAAATCAGCTGACTTGCAGCTACAAGATGTTCATCAAGTAAGCAGTAAAACTGCAAAGGTCAATAAGAATACTTCCTGTTTCAAATGGTGGTTCTGAAAGGTTCTGATTCAGTATTTTAGGGATGTTATAGATGAATAAAGGAGACAGGAGTTAGGCCATGTTTTTATTTTTTACTTTTTCTTGTCAGAACATTTTGAGGCCAAATTAAAAAATAATAATAATAATAATCATTTGTTTCTAATGATTATTGTTGAATTACTTTTGGTTCAAATCTTATTAAAAATGCAGAAGAACCTTTGAAAAACAACATCTCTAAATCATTATCAGTCTACACCACATTTAGCCCAGAATTAGATGTCTGTCATGCCCGTTCTGTCATTGTGATCTTTCCAAACTAACTCCTACATCCCTCCGGAGAAACCTTAGAGGATCATCGGCATCCGCGGGCCTGCTGGAGCTGTGTGGGAGCATGAACTGGTAGAAATGTAGCTTGTTATGAGACGGGCTATTTCTGCTCCTGACCAACACGTCCAAGTTCTTCACAGGCTTTGCTTCTGAGGCCGAGCTGGCTGAGAGGAACCCAGATGTAGGAGGCAGACATGGAGCTTCTTTATCAGACTCAAGTTTCTTCCTCTGGTCCTTCTCATTGGGGGGAAGTGTCACTTCTCCACCTATAAATAATGAACATATGAAGATTTTCTTTAGACAGTATTTGGTCAAGACTATGTTTTTGATGCATTTCTCCCAAAAAGTTACTTATTTATTTGAAAAAGTAAAGAAAATGAATGTAAACACTATTGGTGAAATATGTCCACAACATACAAGTTGGAAAACTCTAAAAATATAAATGTGGCTCCTGACGGCGTGTACAGCTACAGGAATTGGCAGGCATAGTAACCAAAGTAGGAAATCATTTTGATGATATACTTTCAAAATAAAAGCCAACCAACCCAGTATTGTTGTGTTTGTGTAATAGATATGTTTTTCATTAGAAGAAACTGTTATTACAAAATATACATTATTCTTGTTTAAACAATAAAATTCTTACCTTCAGACAATGTAAAACATTCTTGTTGAAACGTTTTAGATCAGTGGTTCCCAAAGTGTCCCCTGATTTCTCTGGTTTGACAAAACAAAGCTGCTTAAAAGGTTAAATAATTCAGGGATCAAAGGAAACCACTTCAGCTCATGTTCAGTTATATTCATTTATGGCAGTTTATTGATGTTTTTTTTTTTCACAATTATGCTCAGAATATAGCATCAGCTTCTAAAATCTGTGAAAAGCATCTCACCCCTCTACCTGTTGCAGATACCGATGCCAATATGGAGCAGATATAGTCAGCCGATGGCCGATATATACTGCTGATTTCCATGGCTGATATCTAGACATTTTCCACCTTATTTTCATGCTAAAATGTCACTAATAACATCAGTTGATGCACAAAATTTGTGAAGCTGAATCAGTTTTGAACTCTGAATTTAACTGTTAAATCTTAACTTTGTGTGCTGCTCAGACACCTAAATAAAGTTAATTTAGAGTTTTTATTATGCAGATGTTCTTAGTGAACGTAAAAATACATTTAAATTAAATTCTGCAACAGCATCGGGCTGCCCAAGGATGTGCCTGGCTTTAATGAGGACAAATATCATCCAATGTTGATAGATGAACTATGGTAAATATTAGCTATCGTCTACCACTCTCCCTCTGTAATTCTTGTTGGCCCACTGTGGGAACGTTGGGAAGCACTTGGTTTAGGAAAAAATGTATTGGTGGAACAATAAACCTTTGGTGTTACAACATGATATAGAGAATTTTATTTTGAAAGGATCGCAGCACAATGCTTACCACAAAGCAGCACAAAGCTTCTCTCCATTTGTCACAAATTGCATTCTGGGAACAAAAAGAAAACAGCTGAACTTTCCACATTTGAGTAACAAAGGTAAATTCTGTTTATACACTTGGGGTCATTTCAGGTGAGATCGAGAATATGAAGCCAGACAGGAAGCTAATGAAGGACGGTGACATGAAACCGGAGCATCGACCAAAACAATACTCTGGTTTATTTTTACTTTGTGGCTTTGTGTTTCGTAGAGTTTAAATAAATCCTGTTAGACCCGCTGACGCTGGTGATTCTGCTCTGTTTCCTAATTAAAGGCCAATAAAGTTTTAAATAATTCTTTTTCATTTTACATTGAGAAGTGGAGCCAAATCTGCCTGGTCAAGTCTTTCAGTAGTGAGCAACAAACACGTCTGATCCAACATGGCCGACTCTTGATATTTTAACATTCTGGGTGAGATAAAGACGGCAAGTCAGACCAGGACAATCAGCACCCGATCAAGTCTTGGGTGGACACGAAGGATTGGCGTGCAGAATGTGCCCTGACGTTCACCCCAACTCTTACAGAAACATCTGTTTGCATCACACACACACACACACACACACACACACACTCCCTCTGAATGAGCAGCTGTTTGGGTTGAAAGTAAGTTCAGTTTAAGCTGCATTTTCAAATCATTCTATTCATTCAGGTGAATTTTTACTGTCCTATCTGGGAACTTTGGTGTTTTGGTCCAAGAGTTAAAAATATTGCATTTAAAATGAAGCAATTTTTAAAAATAGTCATCACTTAAGTGCAGCATCAGGAATCTGGGTGAAGCCTTTGCTTTTTGTCCAGATTCAATCAATCAATCAATCAATCAATCAATCAATCAATCAATCAAATTTTATTTGTATAGCACCTTCTACAACATTATCCGAAGCCCAAGGTGCTGAACAACATCATTAAAAGAAAAACATTCTCAATACATGGGCATAAAAGCACGATAAAAACATAAAATCATAAAATAGCAAGCAAACAGTATTACAGATAAGAGATATTGGAATAACACCAATCGATTAAAAAACAAATGTCAGACAAAATAAAATCAAGCATCCGGTATAAAAAGAAGAATAGTTAAAACCATAATGTTAGGGCAATTCAAGTGACCCTAGCGCTGAAACGCAATCAGATAAAAATGAGTCTTTAAACGAGACTTAAAAACTTGAAGGGATGGAGCCTGTCTAATGCTCAGTGGCAATTCGTTCCACAGAGTTGGAGCAAAAATAGAAAAAGCACGACTACCCCTCGATCGAAACTTCGACCGGGGGACCACCAGAAGTTCCTGCTCGGCTGAGCGAAGAGCCCGAGATGGAGCATACCTGTTCAAAAGCGCAATAATATACGGGGGGGGGGGGGGGGGGGGGGGGGGCACTGCCCTGGAGGGCCTTATAAACGAGAGTTAAGATTTTAAACTGAGCCAGATATTTTACCGGGAGCCAGTGCAGAGCAGCCAGCACTGGGGTAATGTGCTCTCGACATCTAGTGCCTGTCAGGAACCTAGCCACAGAGTTCTGCACAAACTGGAGCCGTGCAACCGTGCACTGGGCCAGACCAGCATACAGAGCGTTGCAGTAGTCCAGCCGGGACAGGACGAAGGCATGCAACACAGACTCCAGATGAGCTCTGGACAGCAGAGGCCTGATCCTGGATAGTCTTTTCAGGTTAAAGAAACAGGACCTCACCACTGTATTTACATGAGTGTCAAGATTAAGTGCTGAGTCGATTTTAATCCCCAAATTACTGACCATTTTCTTTTCATAGGGTGTCAATGGGCCAAGGTCAATATCAGCACCAGAGCCATTTCTTCTGCCAGGACTAAGTATTATAACTTCCGTTTTGCTCTCATTTAGGTGTAAAAAATTAGAAGCCATCCAGCATTTTATGTCCTTCAAGCAATCCAGTAAAGGAGAAACAGATCTATCCTCCCCACGTTGAAGAGGGAGATAGATCTGGCAGTCATCAGCAAAGAAATGAAATGTCATATTATGCTGGCGAAGGAGGACTCCAAGAGGAAGCAAATAAACTGCAAATAGGAGAGGACCAAGGACAGAGCCCTGTGGCACACCCCAACGAAGTTTCACGCTGGGTGACGTTACCTCACCCATCTGAACACTAAATGTCCTGTCTTGAAGATAAGAGCGAAGCCATTGGAGGGCCTGCCCAGTTATCCCTACCCAATGCTGTAGTCGGTCCAGAAGGACTTCGTGGTCAACTGTATCAAAAGCTGCAGATAAGTCAAGCAATAGCAGAACAACATCATTGTCCATGTCACAGGCTAAAAACGTGTCATTAAACACCATTAAAAGAGCAGATTCAGTGCTGTGACCTTTCCTGAACCCTGACTGAAAGGTTTCCCATAAATCATTTGTGTCCAAAAAGGCAACCAATTGTGAATACACGACCTTCTCCAGCAGTTTGGAAAGAAAAAGGAGTTTTGAGATGGGCCTGTAATTAGCTAAGGTTGTCACATCCAGCCCCGTTTTTTTTAACATGGGATGAATAACAGCCTTCTTAAACGAGGACGGAACCATACCAGAAGTAAGACTGCCATTTATGATTGCCAACAGCAAAGGGCCTATCACTGGAAAGAGTTCTTTATAAATTCTAGGGGGCAGCACATCACAAGGAGAGCCAGAAGGTTTGAGCTGAGCGACCAGTTTTTCCAAGTCTGATAATGTAACAGTCTCAAATGTTTCCAGTGTAGCCTGGAGCGGCTCTGGGAGTAGAGAGTCAGATGGTGAGTTTGTAATGGCAGCTCGAATAGATGTAACCTTATCAACAAAAAAGTGAAGAAAGTCATTACAAGTTTCAACTGTGGGAGGCAAAGCGCTAGAATCAGAGAACTCAAGTAGCGAATTTACTACGGAGAAAAGAGTGCGTGGATCATGAGAATTTTTTTCCACGATATCAGCAAAGAACTTCACCCTTGCTTCCTTAAGAGTTTGCTGGTAGCTAAACAAAGATTCTCTGAATATCTCACGAGAGACTTGGAGTCTGTCTTTCTTCCATTTCCTTTCTGCCCTCCTACAGGATTGCCTGCAGGCCCGAACATCATCAGAGAGCCATGGTTCTGGCCTAGGCCTCTTCTTTCTAATCCTAAGAGGTGTAATTTTATCCAAAATGTTTTTACAAATACTGTCAAATTGGAGTGTAAGCTCCTCTGCATTAAGTGACATTGTGTGTAGCTCACTTCCTTCTGCACATAGGAGCTCACCAAGCTCAATAACCTTTGCTGCATTTAAAACACGACGGAATCTCACATGGGAGGAAGCCACAGCAAGCATGCAGGGCAAGTTAAAATCATATAAAATGGGCGAGTGATCAGAAAAAACCGGGCTCAGTATCTCTACACCAGCAACAGAGAGACCAATAGACATCACTAAATCCAAGGTGTGTCCCTGCACATGAGTAGGACCCAGGACCCACTGTGACAGATTAAGGGAGCCCAACAGATGTAAAAAGTCTTTGGCGAATGGCTTATCAGGGCAACACACATGAATATTAAAATCACCAAGAATCAAAACATGATCATACTTTAGCATGTTTACAGACAGGAGGTCAGAGAAGTCCTTTAAAAAGTCCACATCAAATTTAGGAGGACGATATATCAACGCCACGAGCAACAGAGGAGGTGGGCCAAGTTCAAACAGGCACATTTCAAAGCTGGGAGGAGGATTTGATGGAATAAGCTGTTTACAGTTGAAGTGAGATTTATACACGACAACCAGTCCACCGCCTCTGCCAGAAGACCTCGGGACATTAAAACAGCTACAACCCACTGGTAGCAGTTCCAGTAAAGCACTCGAATCTCCCATAGGAAGCCAGCTCTCACATATGCACAGGAGTTCCAACCCCTGTGCAACAAAGAAGTCTTTCAAAATGAAAGTTTTATTCATTACCGACCTGGCGTTGACCAGACCTAGCCGTGTGAGATGTGGAGTCGTCGGCTCAGCGCTGTTTAAGCCTAGGGACGTGGATGCTACCCCCGTACAGGTCACCGGGTGGAGATTCGCTGGGTTGACTCCCCTCCATCGGTACCGAGACACTGGACGAAAGCGCGGGTGCGCTGTCTCCTCCTCAAACCCCACCAACGGCACGAGGCAGGACGGAGCTGGCTCCAACAGGCGTGATGGCGCCACAAGATGACAGCTGATACCCGTCAGCTCAGCAAGCTCCCTACGGGACCGTGACAGCTTGGACCGTAGTCTCACCCGCCGTCCACCACGCCTTCCACGACCCCTACGACGCTTCCTCCAGTTAGCCCGATCCAGGAGCCGCCGAGGCACAAGTGGTGGCGCCGAGCGGCACTGGCAGGAGGACGAAAAACCGGAACTCCTCCAGCCCGTCCAAGCACCCGGTTTCACCAGGCCAGCAGCTGATCGAAGTTCTAGAAGAGCCTCTCGGTCATAAGTCAGCAACAAAGTCACATTACACACGAAAACACTTAAAAATAATAAAAAGATAAAATATCCGACAGGAGACAGACGGCTTGCCACGTACACCGGCGCCATCTTGAACCCACCTTCCAAAGCAAAAAAAAAAAAAAAAAAAAAAATTTATTTATCTTTTATAAAAACAAAGTAATCTCACTAAGGGAAAAAGATGGAATCCAAATTGGATTTTTTTTAAATGCCAAACACAGAAATGTTCTGAAGTAGGGCTGCACGATATTAGGAAAACCTGCGATATTCGATAACAATGATTAATATTGCGACGACAATATTACTTGCGATAAATAAAAACTTAACTCAGAAACAAAAATAATCAAAAACAAAGAAATAAAAAAAATCATAAAAATGAGAAAAGCAAAAGGTGTCAGGAAAGGGATAAAGAAAATGATTTAAAAAAAAAAAGGCGATCTGTGGATCCCGGGAAAAGCAGAATCGGCAAAAAGAGCAGAACAAAGCTAACTCAGGTGTTTGCTAATCATTAAAATTAAGTGCCGTCCGCCTCGGGGGTGGGCATCTGACCTACTGTATGAGAACCCACCCAATTGTCCAAATGGGTGAAGAGCTCTATTTGATTTGTTAAAAAAAAAATGCTTCCGTTTGATTGACAGAATGCATTATGTTTAGCAAACATTGAAGCAGACCATTCATTGCGATATTTATCTGTTCTTTGCTATATGCATATTGTGTGTGCTGACATCTCGATAACGATATATTGTGCAGCTCTATTCTGAAATATTCCTAAAGTAGCATTTTACCCCTGTGAAGAGGCTTTCGGGGACGCTTTTCATAACATCTGAAACAGTAGCTCACAATATTATTCAGGTAAATGCATAAAACCACAGAAACTTTACTTACTCTGAATCTGTGGGATTTTATTGATAAAGCGCCTTTTTATGCTTTTGCTTTTTACCATCTCATTATCTTTTATTCTTCTTGAATTCTCTTGTGCTGATGGTTTATAACTTGTCCGTTGTTCAGTGACATAAAAAAGCTGAGTGTTGTAATAAAATCAGATCTGACCAGTTATAGATGCTGTCATAAATGTGTTTAAGATGGTGAATGTCGAGTGCAACACGTCATATTTTATGTGATCTAAAACAAGAGAGACAAATTAATGGAAAATTAACTTTCAGTTTGATTTAAACATTCTGGTCAAACATCTTTTCATCTTCATAAAAACAAGATCCTTAACTCTTTACCTGCAGCAATATTTAAACTAGTATCCGAATCCCAGAATGAAAGAGCAGCAGCAACGGACCCTGATGACTTCTGTCATCAGAAAACACGCCAGAGCCAAAACTTCATTCATGATCTGTTGCCTTGTTTGGTTTGTGGCGTCAGTCCCTGATGGAGAATCGTCTCTAGTTGAAGACAGGTTTAGATTAAACATCCACCGAAGCACGAAGCGAATGTAATGAGTTACAGTGACAAAGATCCGCTTGCTGAGGCTTGCAGCTCTGAGATGATCTCTGCATTTCATAGCGACGCTGTGAGAAGAACAACTGTAATATTCTCACCAGGCGCTCAGATATTAGGAAACAATATCAAGAGTTTAGGAGCCATAAGCTGAAAGGTAACCGGTAGTTTGATTTTCTCACAGCTGTTTTCTGGTGGAGCACAGGTGTTTTAAGGTGTGGTGATGTGATTGCAGGTGAGGTGTGCCGCTGTTTTTGCTCTGGGAACGTTTGTGGGAAACTCAGCTGAGAGGACAGACCACTCCACCACCATCGACCATAACGTGGCCATGATGTTGGCGCAACTCCTCAACGATGGCAGTCCGGTGGTCCGAAAGGTCTTGACACACCCACCATCACAGTTTCCTAGCCAGCTGCATATATATAAGGGGAAATAGTGTGTGTGTGTGTGTGTGTGTGTGTGTGTGTGTGCGCGTGCGTGCGTGCGTGTGTGTGTGCGTGTGTGTGTGTGTCATTTGTCTGACAGTACAGCGCCAAATCCATTTCTTACATTTTACCAGTTTTCAGAGAAATGCCTATTTGAAAAATAAATATCTGATTTCACACAAAAACATTCCCCGGTCAGGCAAGAAATCTCATCAGATCAAATGTGACTTTGGTGTAAACAAATGTGGACGAGAAGCGTGCAGCACGCTTCCATCACCTCACTTTCTGGCAGCGCACTTGTTAGTCCACGAAACAGAGGCAAGACAATGCAACATGATCTTGAGCCTGACGTGCTTTCGAGGAAGACTCCACCACACTGATTATCTCATAAGATTATCTTTAGTCGTTAAAGTCATACTATGCGACTTTTTCATATTTTAGATCATTTTCTTGAGCCAGTATTTGCTAAAATTACCCTTTTCAGCAGGAATATTCTGGGCCTGGAGGGCTGCTATCCAGCATGTTTTAGTGGTTTCTCTGCTCCAACACACTTGATTCAGGGGTTGAATCACCTGTTCAGCAGTTCATCAGGCTCTACAGAAGTCTGTTAATCACCTGCTGAACGAGCTGGATACCGGCTCTCCAGGCCCTGAATTGAATACCCCTGCTTTACAGGGTTAATTAAATGTCTCTCAGACCCCCTACTGCCCTCTGTGGCCAGACAGAATATTGCACTTGCAACTTCAGAGTGGTGGCCTCCCACCTGCTGGACTTAGAAAAATGGAGCTGACATTCCAGCACTTCAGTCTGCTTCTAGCATGCTTTTTTGCATGTTTTACATCATGAACACAGCTGATTTATTTGATTTAGTGATGAATCACTCCAGTAGACACTAATGAAGGCTGAGGAGACACTTCAGCAGTTAGATTAAAGTGGTAAAAAGACAAACACACAGCGAGGAGATAAGTTTTGCTTTTGGTTCTACTAAATGGACACTGGGGTGCTAAAAGAAAGTCAAAACTGCCAAGTGTGCCTTTAAGATTGATTATCTTCATAAATCGGGCCTTGGAGGTCAGAATAATTATTTAAATGTGAAAATAAATTTGGGTTAAAAACATTTCTTTGAAGAGTCCTCTTTTAGGGCCACGATCATTGATTTGTTGGATATTTTGTTTGTCAGGAGCTGGTGGTGGCGTTGAGTCATCTGGTGGTCCAGTACGAGAGCAACTTCTGCACCGTCGCCCTCCAGTTCATAGAGGAGGAGAAGAACTATGCCGTTCCTTCTCCGGCCAACACTGCTGGTAGGAGCTACAGGAGCTTCATGCGGGAAGTCTGTTTAGGGATGAACCTAACCCAACTGTCAGACTTATTTTTAATGGTTTGGTTTACATAATGTTCATAATCATTTAGACTAGACAGATGTGGAGTTGGAAAGTGGAGCTTGAGCATGTTCTCCATATCTGTCCTGCATTTATTTATCACAGGTTTTAGCATAAATTTAAGGAGGAGTTCAAAGGATCTAAACATGGAGTTAAGCTTCTCAGCCCAGGCAGGTTTGTAGAGGTTACAGGGGTGAGTTTCTATGGAAAAATCTCCTTTTTTAGGGTGAATCATTTTCTTTAAACTCAATCTGTCACAAATGAACAAATCAGCTTGATGCACAGGTGCAGGATTATTTTGGGGCTCCTGGAATTCCTTTTGTAGTTATTTTGTTTATTTTTTGCACATTTTCAGTCTGAAATGTTCCTAACTTCTCACAGCTCACACTCAGAATGAACGGAACCAAAGTTCCTCAATGTTACGGCTCAGAAATGATATCTATGACTTTTCTGCTGACTTTCAGAACCCGGAAACCTGACTCCTGTGAGAGACAGCCCAGCAATCCCTCGCCTGCGATCCGTCAACTCCTACACCAACATTCGCACTGCCACCACCGCCCGCAACCTGAACAAAAGCCTGCAGAACCTCAACGTCAACGAAGAGGGTAAGTGGGAGCTATGGATGCCGGGAAATGGAGCAGTGATGAAAGGAAGCCAGATCTGAGTGGAGAGACATACGTTTTACACATAGGTTAAAGCTGCCTTCCAGAGTTTTCCTCTTTCAGAAATTATGTATGCGCTCTCAATTAACCACACTTTCTCCCACACTTCTCGTGCATCTGGCCGAGGTGGTGGAACGGGCATGTTAATTTCCAACGAATGGATATACAGTCAGTTGCTACACATCACCAAGTACAACTCCTTTGAATACCATGCCATCCAGGTAACTGTACCGAAACAATTATTTTTGGTTGTCATATATCGCCAACCAGGTGAACTCGGAGACTTTCTTGATGAACTCCACACCCTGCTCTCCTCCATTCCTGAGCACGACTGTCCCACAATGGTCCTTGGAGACATGAATATTCACCTGGACAATCCCAGCTCATCAGGCTTCCTGTCACCAATGTCATCATTTGATCTAAAACTAGTACAAAGTCCTCCAACTCACAAAGGTGGAAAAGCACCTGACCTCATTTTCACCAGAAACTGTGCCATAAACACAATCTCTGTCACACCGCTGCATCTTTCAGATCATTACTTCATCCATTTCAGCACGACTCTATGAGGGAGGTCCACTGCTTCCTCCCCAGTGGTCTCATTCTGCCGCAACCTCCGCAATCTGGCACCCAACCACTTCTCCTCTCTTGTTGCCTTCACTCTTCCATCTCTCAGCACATTCTCTGCTTATGAAGTGAATGAAGCCATCGAGTCACTCTGCTCTTGTCTCAACAACTTGAGCCCTTTAGCCACTAGACCTGCTAGATCCTCTCAGTCCCTTGGCTAAATGATACCCTCCGGTCTCTACGCACCAATCTTAGAGCTGCGGAACGGAAATTGTGCAAAACAAAAGATCCTCGTGATCAATTGAAATTTCATGAATTACTGTCCTCATTCTCTGCCAGCATCACTGATGCAAAGAAAGCTTTCTACACTGACAAAATTCTCAGCTCTACGACTCTCAGAAACTATTTTCGACATTCAAAACTCTGCTCAACCCTCCGTCTCCACCTCCTACCAACAATCTATCAGCTGACACCTTTGCCTCATTCTTCACTGACAAAGTGGCAGCTATAAGCAAAGAGTTTACTCAAATGGCCACTCTTGAACATTCGCTACCACAAACTCCTTCTAGCCCAACCATTCTACTGCTTCAATTTCCTCTTTTCCCCTCTCACTGAGAACTGTGTGTCCAAGCTTCTCACGTGCAGCCGCCCTACTACATGCCCACTCGACCCCATTCCAACTAAGCTGCTCCAAGCTATTGCTCCTACAGTAGCCACAGCAGTCACACATGTGATCAACGCTTCACTGACATCCGGTACATTTCCCACCTCTCTCAAGCATGCTCAGGTTAAACCGCTGCTAAAAAACCCATCTCTTCCTCCAAATCACGTGGAGAACTACCGACCTATCTCTCTCCTCCCTTTTCTGTCCAAAATCATTGAAAGGGTGGCTTTCAAGCAGATCACAAAATACCTCTCACAAAACTGTCTGTTTGACCCTTACCAATCTGGGTTCAAAAACTGAAACTGCTCTGTTGGCAGTGACGGAATCCTTAAATGAAGCTAGAGTGACTGCCAAATCCTGTGAGCTTATCCTGCTCGACTTATCGGCTGCATTTGACACTGTCAACCATGGCTTCCTTTTGTCCAGTCTCTCTTGCATGGGCATCACAGAGAACACACACGCCTGGTTTGAATCGATCATTCAGTGTATCTTGGCTTGGACAATCCTCTATCATGCACCATCTTGCCACAGGAGTCCCCCAGGGCTCTGTACTAGGATCTCTTCTCTTTGCCATATACACCACCTCACTGGGTGAGATCATTCGATCACATGGCTTCTCCTACCACTGCTATGCAGACGACACCCAGCTCTATCTGTCATTTCCACCAGACGACCACACTGTCTCTGCATGAAAATCAAACTGTCTCTCTGACATATCAAAATGGATGAAATCCCACCATCTCCAACTCAACCTCTCTAAAACTGAACTACTTGTCATCCCAGCAAAACCATCCATACAGCACAATATCTCAATCCAAAATGACTTCCTATCTCTGGCTCCTTCAAAGGCAGTTCAAAATCTGAGTGTTGTGATAGATGAACACCTGACCTTTAAAGATCATGTTGCCTCTGTTGCTCGTTCATGCCGCTTTGCGCTGTATAACATACGAAAGATCAGACCATACCTAACACAACATGCCACCCAGCTCCTGGTGCAATCTACTGTCATCTCCCACCTCGACTTCTGCAATGCCCTTCTAACTGGTCTTCTAACAGCCTGTACTGTGAGACCTCTTCAAATAGTCCAGAACGCAGCGGCGCGTCTGGTCTTCAATCAGCCAAAAAGAGCACATGTCACCCCTCTGTTCATTGAGCTCCACTGGCTACTGCTAGCAGCACGCATCAAATTAAAATCGCTAACACTAGCATACAAAGTCTGAGATGGTACGGCTCCCATCTACCTGAATCCTCTTGCAAAGGCTTACGTCTCGGCCCGGCCGCTCCGGTCATCACAGGATCATCGGCTAGCAGTGCCTACACCACGCTCAGGACAGTCCAGACTCTTCTCATGCATCGTTCCACAAATGTGGAATGACCTACCAAGCACTACCAGAACAGGGGCTTCCTTTTTGATTTTCAAGAAACTCCTGAAGACCCTGATCTTCAGAGAGCATCTTCTTAACTAGCACCTTCCCTGCACCCGTCCCCCCTCTCTACTGTCCACTCCTTGTTCCCTCCTCTCCATGATTCATCATGCTGTCTCACTGCCACCTATGAGTGACTGGAAATAGTTTGTTGTTGTTGTTAGCCTCAAGGGCAACATGCCGATTATAACTTGTAAGTCACTTTGGACTAAAGTGTCTGCTAAATACATAAACATAAACATGTATGATTTGTCAGAAATCTGTAAAAGTGATTATCTTATCATGTACTGTGATATAATATAAACAATACGTCTTTTTTTTTTTTTTGCTAAGCACACCTCCTGCCCGGCAGAGCTCCGTGCAATAGGAAACTGAGCGCCGACCAGAACTAACCAATAGCGTCAGACTACCGCTTAGACACTTCACATTTAAGGAATACCTCTGCTGATGCAGAGTTGATGAACTTTTCACGGATAAGAAAGTCTCTAAAATATAAATATATGAAAACACAACATGACATGAGAATAATACTCGTAAAACAACTTGTTTTAGCTCTGTTTGTCGGCTACAGAAGCACATTTATAAACAGAAACGTGAAGTCACCATCTTGAAAAAAACAGACCATCTGTTTTTGTGTGATACGCTTGTCAGCCACTAGATGGTGCCATTGGATAAGAGAAATACTCCAGAAAGAAGCTTTAAATAAAGTCTGCAGAAATTCATTTTAAACGATTTCCATAAATAATTTTAATTGTTTAATTTGATAATTACACACAATCTGTCGTGGTGAAGAGAGAGCTGAGCCACAAGGCAAAGCTCTCGATTTACCGGTCGATCTACGTTCCTACCCTCATCTATGGTCACAAGCTTTGGGTAGTGACCGAAAGAACGAGATTGCAGGTGCAAGCGGCTGAAATACATTATCTCTGCAGGGTGTCTGGGCTCTCCCTTAGAGATGGGGTGAGAAGCTTGGTCATCTGTGAGGGGCTTTGAGTAGACCCACTGCTCCTCCATGTTGAGAGGAGCGAGTTGTGGTGGCTCGTGCATCTAGTTAGGATGCCTCCTGAACACCTCTCTGGTGAGGTTTTCCAGGCACGTCCAACCGGGAGGAGACCTAAAGGAAGACCCAGGACACGCTGTAGGGACTATGTCTCTTGGCTGGTCAGGGAACATCTTGGGATTCCTTTGGAGGAGCTGGACCAAGTGGCTTGAGAGAGGGAAGTCTGGGCCTCTCTGCTTAGGATGATGACCCGAACCTGGATAAGTGGTCGCAAATGTATGAATGAGTGGAATCACACAGTAATAAATAATACACATAATTTAATAAATACACAAATGATTTTATTTGATAATTACACACAAACACCAGAATTCGTTAAAGTGAAAAATTAAGTAACTTATAATCCTATCTTACCTGTTTTGTGTCTCTTTAGTTCCAAAAAAAACTATTTTTATGTATTTTGATCTTTGTTCTCTTTAATCTGCAAATCGTGTTTCCCTCTTATTTTTTGTTACAAACGTGGTACGTGTTTTTTAAATGTTCTTCATTTTTTCTGGTTATCTTTTAAAAAATTATATATTTTCCAGACTCCACGTTAGTGTCGTTCACCACAGTTTATGCTTCACAGATTTTTCCAAGTTTCACGAATAAAAAATGTTTTTATCCCGGGTATCTTTGACATGGTTCTTCTCAATCAATATGTTTTATATTTATTTATAATTCCAATCCATTTTACAACAAAAAGAGAAAAAGAAAGAAGTTGGGAGCTGTCCATGGTGCTGAAGAGCAGAGCTGCTGGACAATGGTAATGCATTTAACATTTAAGAATATAAAACATGTAAAAATAAACGTAGATAATAACTTAGTGCAAAAGTTTTATATTTATAGGTTTATTTTTATTAATAGAAAATAATGTTAAATATTTTCAATAATAAACTTTATTTTATTACGTCAGGTTTTAATTTTAAACACATCAGATCTGCTCTGAAGGAGGTCTGTGATATGTTAATGAGCTCTTATTACATATTTAATGAGGAAATGTGTTAGAATATGATTTATCTGATTGTCACGACTCAATTTTAATTATGATTTTAATTGGTTTAGTTCTAATTCAGCTATTAACAGCTCACTGCAAAGCTTCTCATTTTCATTGCTCTACAAATCTGATCTAAAGTGAAACATTTAGTTGCAACTGCTGCATATTAGTCAGCTGCACATCCATGATGCGAATCTCCTGTTCCACCATCCCAAAGTTTCTTTATTGGATTGAGATCTGGTGACTGTGGAGGCCATTTGTGTGCAACGAACACATTGTCAAGTTCAAGAAACCAGTCTGAGATGATTCAAGCTTCATAACATGGGGCATTAACCTGCTAGAAGTAGCCATCAGAAGAAGGGTACACTGTGGTTATAAAGGGATGGACATGTTCAGCAATAATATTTGGGTACGGTGTGGCGCTTCAACTATGAGCAAATAGTACTAAGAGGCCTAAAGTGTGCCAAGAAAATGTCCTCCACACCATTACACCACCACCAGCAGCCTGACCCGTTGATACAACGCAGGATGCATCCATGCTTTCAGACCCTTCCATCCAAAAATCGCAGCAGAAATCGAGACTCATCGGACCAGGCAACATTTTTCCAATCTTCAATTGTCCAGTTTTGGTGAGCCTGTGTGAATTGCAGCCTCAGTTTCCTGTTCTTAGCTGACAGGAGTGACACCCGGTGTGGTCTTCTGTTGCTGTAGCCCATCTGCCTCAAGGTTTGACGCGTTCAGAGATGCTCTTCTGCATACCTTGGTTGTAATGATTATTGAAAATTGGCACACTTCATCAACGCTCAGGGAGACTTCTGCCCTGGACATGGAGGAGCAAGGCTGTACTCCAAGCTCCTCTCCTCATACCAGCCACTTCTAGTCATTTTTTTACACGCTACACTTAGAAAACACGTCAAGCTCAGCGGTTCAGATTGCACCAGACAGGAAATCAAACATCTGGCAACTTTTAAAATAACACACATGAAGATTTCCAGATGCTTAAGCATAAAAAAATGTGTCATAACCGGTGACATCATCGTGGCCGAGGTTAAAAGAACAGAAACTAAAACACAAACCATTTTTGATACATGCTGCTGTTTTTCTGCTTGCTCGTTAATGTGTGAAATGGCGAAGTCACGCTTGATCTCGCAGTTTTCCTTTGATTTTGTTTTACCTCACAGGACCAACTGTGTGCAAGGCCTTTGCAGCAGATGCATGTCTGAGAGGCTCCTGTTGGGAATGGACGCGCTGCACACATCCATTATGTTACGCATCTGGTGGAAAGCTCAGCTAAAGCACTCAAATCCATCTCTGTGAGAGTTTTTTACAAAAAACTTCACAGAAAGGTTTTTATATCGACCATAGACCTGTTTTAAAATTTTTTTAAGTTTTTTAAAGCCGCCTTTAATATAGGCATCCCTAATTAGTTGCAGTAAAGTCACATTTGAACTTTTACTCCATAGCCTGCTGCTCCAAACCTGCCACATCTCAGTGATTCAAGCAGCTCCGTCTAACCGCTCTCGCTCCGTCTCACGCTGCCAGACTGTGATGCATAAGCTCTGTTTGGTGCTAAATCACTGGTGGTTGGTGAAGTGCCTAACCTACTGCTGACACTGTTTCTAATTCACATTCTCAGTGCTCGCTGCGGTATGCAGGGGTGTTTATCATCAATAAGCTCAGAGCCGAGCGGCTCCTTATTCTCTACCAATCTCCGTTCCCACGTTTCAGCCCGCAGTTTGATTCCAGGATTCATGGCATTTTGGTTTGAATGAGTCAGAGTAATGTTCGGTGAAACTCAGAGTTACAGCGGTGCAGGATTGGACCTGAAAGCTGAAATGAAGGTATGATCGTGTTGCCTTCAAGGACCACAACAGCTTATATTCTAAAGCTGTAAAGCTGCTGCTGCTTTGTTTTGTTTCATTTTTCCAATAACGCCAAAAAGTCTAAATGAATTGTTTCCTGTTTAGAACATGTTTATGTAATCTGCTTTTTTCTCATCCAGGTGGACCAGCAGCCTTCTCCCCTGGAAACCTGAGCACCAGCAGTAGCGCCAGCAGCACGTTGGGGAGCCCCGACAATGACGAGTACATCCTCTCCTTTGAAACCATCGACAAGATGCGACGAGTTTCGTCTTATTCCTCCCTCAACTCCCTTATAGGTAACAACCCGTCTGCAGATTCTGGGCTCTATAGCTCCGGGTGTTCAGCCAGATCAAACAGGAACTCTGAACCCATCTATTGTGTTTCCTCAGAATCCGAGTCCGCCTGTCAGAACTGTTGCATAACATCTTGTATAATGCGGCTCTGGAGGAGCGCTGTCGTGTTCAAAAATACCTCGACTTCATAAACAACAGAATTTAAACACAAAACCTGCTTCATAAGCAGAAAAGACAGGTGCTTACAATGCACAGGCTTCAAAGTTAAAGATGTGGTGCATTATGGGAACTTTATTTGACCTTTCCTAATGTATTCTGGTCTGTACAGCTTCTGTTTGGAGGATCGTTTTCCTGAACGTTAACCTTTGAGGTTTCTTTAATCTCAAGTCATCCAAACTTATCCAGAGTTTATAAAATAGTTCCTTATAAAAATGAACAGAAGTGTGAAGAGTCAAACTTCTACCATCCAGGGTTCAAGTGATGAAATCGTAATTTTTTTTTGTTTTATTTATTTTTTTGTCTCTTGCAGTTTTGTCATTTTAGTTTTGTGTTGTGGCTCTGCTTTAGTGTTTAGCTGCTGCAGCATGGCAGGGTGTAACACAAACTTTATTAATAATGTGTAAGAATTGGACTAAAAACACAAACCAGAGCAAGTAATGCAACTTTAGACCTCCCGCCCAGAAGAGGACCAGTCCTTCCAAGGAAGGTCAGGGACAACAAATCAGCATCCAGTAAGAGAGAAGCGTTAAATGCTTCTGCTGATCCTATTCACTTAATGCTGCGCTCAGGTGATGCGCGGGTTCAAGCAGAAAAGCTATTAAATCGCTCCCATTGCCACGAAACCTCCAATTATTCCATCCGGCTTTGTTGCATCATGTTTTGTGTTTTAGAATTTGCAAAATGTGAAACAAAACAGTTCTATTCCTCTAAAAGACAATAAGTGTCATTCCCTTCATTTTGAATAAACACAATTCAAAGGTCCACCCCCTTCAGGTCCCTCCGTCCTAAGCCGCAACTTCTAAAGAGAATGTTGACCACAACAGATCCTGTCCAACAACCATAAAAACATAACATTATCTTACATTTTTGACCCAATGTGGCGCCTTTTATGCCACAGTTCTTAGTGTAACGCACCTACATGCTTAATGAGCTGAAACTACATATGAATACCCCGCATCTCTACCTCCTGAGGGGTCGTTGGAGTTGTTAGCCTCTATTGTGTGGGAATTGTTGTGTTGATTAGTTGCAAAAACGCCTTCAAGAAACCAAATAAGTCCAGTTGCCTTCATTGCCCTTTGGATTACGATTAGTGCAGTTACTTTATTGGTTGCCATCATTTTGTGGAGAGAATTTCAAACAATGTGGCAAAAAATGCTGCAGAAAAACATTTCCTACCCACCTTAGGGGCTTGTTTTAGTTTCATATCAATTTTCTTTAACCATCACTAAAATGGGCAAATGGCCTGTATTCGATGTAGCACCTCCTAGAGTTCAACAACCCCCAAGGTGCTTTACAACGCAACAGTCATTCACCCATTCACACTCTGGTGGTGATGAGTTAAAGCGTAGTAGCCTCAGCTGCCCTGGGGTGCATTGACAGAGGCGAGGCTGCCGTATACAGGCACCACTTGTCCCACTGACCACCACCAGCAGATAAGGCAGGTCTTGCCCAAAGACAACTACTGCATCAGACTGAGAGGGGTGGAAACCTGCAACCTTCTGTTAACAGGCTGGGCAATTAACTCCTGATCCACTGTGAGTTTCTTTGTGTTTTATTCCAACTTTTCCAACCATCTGTTTCATAAATCTGTTAAGATCCACACGTTTCTGACATTATTGGACAGAGTGGCGGTCAAAAGGTTCAGCTGCCCCTTTTCCTGTTTAAGAACCTCCATCTTTTACTCGTGGATTTTTGTGTTCGGCTTTAGGAAAAATTGGACCAAGAAAATCCAAATCCTGGAAGTAAAACTGATGAAAGAACCATCAGTAATTACTGCTTGGCACATCCCTCGCTCTTGTTACGCTTTTATCCAACAAATCAAACATTTGATGCTCGTTTGAAACCTTTTCAAGCCACTCACTGCTGGATGAGGTTCCTGTGAGAGCAGGTTAGGAGACACAAACGCCCACCACCCACCCTCTGAGGATTTGAAACATCGGGGCTTTTTCATTCTGTTGTGACTTAAAAATCATCATTCTGTTGTTTTATTGTTGTTTATCTTGTTTGCAGTCTTTTTCTTAAACACCACAGGGTTTTTGTTCTCCTTTTCCTTTGATTTGTTTCTTCTTTTTTTAGTTTCAAGTTTTCAGTTTCATCACATTTATCTGCAAACAGAAGCGTTGAGAGGCCCGTGTGTTGTCGTACAAATTGGAACCATAAATGCTGAATGCATCTCCTGCTGGACATGGGCCTGCAGCAAACCAGCAGGGCAGCTAAACTGCGTGGGGGGTGAAGTTCTTTGATTTATTGACTCACTACTACTATCATTTGTACAAGTCCTGCAACACTAGCAGCCACACTATCATCTCTCTTAGGAAAAATGCTACCAAGGTTGAGGTTTAGCTAAGCGATAGTTTAAGAAATGGCCGATGTTAGTAGACACTGAGTTGGTGTAATTATTGTCTGATTGCACCCTTTCAAAAATCAACAAAACCATATTTTTCTGCATGTTAACTGCACATATATTGAAATCTCTCACTGAGACGAGTGTGTCTACATTCCTGTGGCCAGGAGATGGGGATCATGTCTAAAAGAAAGAGATCCCAGGTAAAAGAGGCCAAAAAGATCTTCCTGCTCTAGGCTCAGTGTTGGAGACGAGGATGGGAGCTCCTAGTGGAGTCGCTGCTCCTCTTCATCTAAAGGAGTAAAGCTGAGGTGCTCAGGTGTCTGATTAAGATGTCCCCCTGACCGCCTCCTTCTTGAAGGTTTCCCTGAGACGTTCCACTGAGAGGAGATCCCAGGGAAGACCAAAAACTTGCTGAAGGGATCATATATCCTCTTTGGCCTTTTAGCACCTTTTTATTCATTATGATTTCTTACTTGATCCTGATCGTGTCACCATCAAACTTTAACTTTGGTGACATGAAGTTGTTCTCTTGCATTTGTCTGAAAGCCTCTGCCAATAAGACGTTTCAAACTGAAAGCAACTATTGGACCAGTCGGCTGTCAGTCTCGCCAAACTGCAGCACCTCCCTGGGTCCTCCACTCATAACGCACTTGCATATTTAGCAACAGAACACTACTGGTGTGAGAGGTTTGTGGCTCAATAGTATCAGAGAAGGAGAAACAGCCGGCTGCTACCACTTCAACTTTAGGACAAACTACTAGAGTCCCAAAAAGAAAAACGCCATTTGAAGTCGCAGACAACAAAAGATGTTTGGACCTAAAACGGCGACTGGTGTTTGACGATCTCTTGTTTCCTCTTGAAATGTGGGTCTCTAGTTTCGACAAAAGCGTCTCAGGGAAAATACCTGAGGGGTATCGCGTTTAAAACCTAGCTTGTTCTGTAAATTCACTAAAGCAGCTTTAAGTGTGCGCCCCATAATCGGAGGGTTGCAGGTTTGAGCCCCATTTTTGTGTCCTTAAGCAAGGTACTTAACCCGCCTTTCCTGCTGGTTAGGGTTGCTGTCAGGGCGCCCCAGGGCAGCGGCGGCTGTGTTGTAGTTTATCACCCCTACTGTGTGAAAGTGTGTGTTCTTGGGTGGAAGACTGTTAGTGTTGTAAATCTCTTTGGGGGGCTGTAGAACCCTAGAAGACGCTCTTATCACATACAGGCCATTCAGCATTTACTTTAACGTGGATGGAGATATTTTCATAAATAAAGAAATAAGAAACCTGTTCCAATAAATTTTAATGTAATGGACCGGATCTGATGATCACATCTTTTCCTGTATCTAAACCGACATTTTACTCATCTCACCCAAAAGATTTAAATTCACTTTAGCTTTTCTGTCTGCTTGTGATATCGTCTGCCATTTGAAGAGCATCGTAGACATTATTTTCTAATTTGGTGCTGCTCACACCTCTCCCGTGTGTGAAATGTTCCTAGGAGAAGAGGTTTTTTCTTTCTGCTTTTAGACATCCTAAAGCATTTCTAATGTTCAACCATTCAAAGCTCAATACTAAAAATCCCCTCGCACTGGTAACTGTACTTTATTACATTTTCCTGAATTTTGGGGCAATAATAACGTGATGCAGTGGGTCATTTAGTTGGTGGTTAACATCTTTACAAATTTACATCCATTTCACTGTGTTTAAATGACACGAGAGTCAAGTCAGGACGCAGCGCTCAGACACTGAATCATATTCACTGTCATGCCCCGTCACCGGGAACATGCAAAGATGGTGCAGCGGTAATTTGTGTGCATTCGTAATATAAAGCAGCAGTTAAATGGGAGAGGAGCTGTATTTCACATTTATCAACTGGCAGTTTACTGCAGCTGCAAGCGTGCAGGCTAGCTGTCGCTAATCACATCCTCCCCCTAAGTCTGCAGCCTAATCACCTCCTTAACTCCCTCTCAGTTTTCCTCTCTTAGTTTCTTTCCTCTTTCTGTCCTTTTCTCTCCTCCTCACCCCTTTTTGACCATTTTCTGTCTTTTAGAGGATTCTGACCTAAGCCGTCCTCTGGTGTCCTCACCCTCTCTCTTCCTTCATTGACACGCCTTCAGGCCTTCTCGCCACCAGCTTCCCTCCTGCTTCATGACACTTCAGTCTTTTTTCTCCGAATGGTCTTCCTCTGTCTTCAGTCTGCCCTCGCTGGTGTCTCCTCTTTGAAAAACAAGAATATTGAAGTGCTCTCCAGAGACTCGATAATAAGTGGGTTCAGACTTGAGTCTACTCTTTCTATTTCCAAACTTGCGAGGACTGCCTTTGTTTTGGGAAACATCCGAAAGCGATGAACGAGGAGTAGAAAAAGAGAAACAACTGAAACAGAAAGTACAGCCTAAAAGACACAAGTAGTGGTTGGAATTGTTGTTTAAAAAATGCTAAAATAATTGTATTGGGAATTGGTTTTTTATCTGACCAACAGTAAAGTAAAATGCTTGTACTACTTACTAGACGTGTAACGGTATACGTTCTGCAGAAACGCATACCGATTTCCTACATGGATGTGTAACTGTGCTGCACGTTAGCCGTTAGCCAGCAACATAAGCAGCTGTATCCAAATTCAAGGGCTGCATCCTTCAAAGACCCGACCGACCTGGTTCACATAGGCTGGTGTGGGACACTGGAAAGACCAGAAGTGAACAGCTTAACAATTAGGCAGTCTTACCTCAGCATTTGTCCTGATCCCTAGCAACTACGAGGGTGTTAAACACATGTTTAAACCAAACTTTGTGCCATATGAACAACCTTAGTGTTTCATTGGGGAGATGGTGGCTGAGGAAGTAAATGCCTGCCCCGTAACCGGAGAGTTGCAGTTTCGAGCCCCGCTCAGTTTGCCATAGTTGTGTCCTTCTCATTTCACCCTCCTTACATAATGGTAGTGGTCAGAAGTATTGGTGGTGCCTGTGCATGGCAAATTAATTGTTTTGTCAAAATATATATAATAACATCTGAAACGTACTATCATGGAAAAACCTTCTCTAGTCCGGCTTTGGCCCCTCAGCTATATTACTGGCTCACAAACCATCCTTCAAACTGATCCTCCAGGGTATCTGCAGGTCCTTAAAAAGTCTTAAATTTGCTTTTCCAAATTTAAGGCCTTAAAAATCCTTAAAAATTACAAATAATCCTTAAATAGAGTTTCCAAAGGTCTTAAATAACCAAAGACCCAATAAACAAGATTCTTTTATTTCTATAAAATTTTTGTGAATTTCTAGTTAGTGTTCAGCATTTTTTGTGTATGATATTGGCGTAAGCAGAACCATACAGTTGGTTGTGAAAGGGGGCTATTTTTAGATGAGCACGCTAGTGGGAGTTTGCGCCATGGGGAAGTGCAACATTAATGGTAACTGGATGGCTAATCCCACATTTGCGACGTGGTTAGCACCAGTTCTAGGCAATAGCTGGAAATTATAGCTTTAATTTAATTTAAAAAAATGGCTTCAATTTGGTCCAAGTGGCCTTAAAAAAGGTCTTAAAAAGTCTTAAATTTGGCTCCCTTAAACCCCACTGTACACAATGCCCTCTGAGAAGGAAACGCTTGTTTTCAAACAGGAAATGAAGCTAGCTGAGCTGCCTAGTGTCACGGACAGAATCTCCTGTTCTGTTTTGCAGATCTTGTTGAAGAAGTTGTTCTGTTTAGAACCAATCAGGATGGGTGGGCGTGGCCAGCAACAGCTGACAGAGCCCTGAAAAGGCTCATTCTGGAAGGTGCTGAAACTGTCAAGAATAAGCCTACTGAAATCTCTTTATGTGAGAGGGATGTTTGCACAAAAAAACTCATTAACATGTTTTGTATCAACCATAGAACTGTTATATTTTGAGAAACAAAGTCTTAATAAGTCTCCTTTAAAAATACCCCAAGATACTTGAACTCCTTCACTGGCGATAGGACCAAAAGGTGGCAGTCCACCCTCTCCAAGTCGAGAAAAACCGCTGCAGATTTCGAGAAATCGATCCAAGCTGCTTTGGCTGAGAACCTGATGAGGATCATAGTTTGATGAAGCTAAGATAAACGCAGCTTCTGCAAAAAGGCAGAGATGAGATTCTACTGCCACCCACTGTGGGTGGCTCCTTTAATCTGTCTTAACTGAAGTTCTTCTGTGTGTCTTTTTTCCCAGGTGTGTCCTTCAACAGTGTTTACACTCAGATCTGGAGAGTTCTCCTACATCTGGCTGCAGATCCTTTCCCAGAGGTTTCAGATTTGGCCATGAAGGTCCTCAACAGCATCGCTTACAAGGTTTGTTACGTTTGAGTGTTTAAATATTCTCGTTTATGATGCACCCATTTCAGATCCACACCCCTCTCCCTCCCTCTGGCATGTGCTTCCCTCAGAAGGCCATTGCTTTTGTGCAAATGCAATTAGGTGCCAATGACTCCCCCAGGCTTGGCACAGCCTAGCCGAGCTGGCGGAGAGCCTGCTGTAACTCCAGGAGCTGTAATAACCGCTCTGCTCCACCACACATCCTTACCTGAGGCTACATTTTAACTTTCTTCTCCCAAAACGACTAAACTATCTACTCAAACAGACAAGCAGCTCTGTAAGGACATGATTTACAGTTTAATATAGAGAGCCAGAATGTGGGAACGTGTAGATTTCAGCAAAGTCTCTGACTGACCTGAGCTGATAAACAGATAAAGAGCTAATAAAAGTCCATTATGATGTCATCAGTCAGCTTCTCCACTGCCAGGCAACGTATGCTTAACTTCTAGTAGACCATCATCATCCTGATCACAGTCACAAAGCTCTGATCAGATGTGTGGTGGAGTGTTTGATGGGATGTTTATGCAGCATTTTTTAATTACTGAAGCTTTGACTCCAGGGTTTTTAGAGGAATAAAAACTGTAAAATGTTAGAATCAGCTAATTTTTCTGTTACTGATGTGAGCTCTAGACCAGAAATGCTCCCACAGAGGTGTGAAAACTAGAAAAAGCAAATAGAAATCAAGTTCGTGTCTGCAGTACTTTGTGTTTATGTGTCGTTAAAGGGCTGTACCTGCTCCACAAGTACCGAGAAGTTTGTCGACTCTAGAACAAAGCTCCTTCTGGTCAGGACGTTTCATACTTTACAAGAAACTCAAGTACAGAATTCCTTGGAAAATCACACAATAGTTGTCTGGCGCGTTTCTGCGGTGCATGGTCAGGCCTTTCCTCTGTAAGGGGAACCAAACTCACCTGAAACCTCTCACAGCTCCTCCTTGAGGCCTTGCACTGCTGTGCTCTCCAGCCAGTTAACAATGATGCAGCTGAAAGGAAACGGGAAGAATAATAGGAACAGGCTGCTTCCAACCTGAGAAGCTTGGAGCGATTATCCTCAGCTTAGGAGATTTTTCATATGATGTTCTGAGGAAAGTCGGGGCGTCCACGTGTTGATGCCCATTAACCGCGCTGAAACGTGTTGCATAACTGAATCATGATAACAGATGAGCCCTGCAGCATTTGCTTAGCTAGAGTTTCCCCTTTCCTCTTAAACTAAATGTTGTTTTCCTGCATCTGCAGACTGTGCTGCTGCTTTCACACACGTCTCTAAATAAATAACTTTTATGTGTTTGTTTGCCTTTTTCTGATTTTTACTTACATTATTGATAAGGATTTCCATGAGAACTTTCGAGCTAACGGCTTCCTAAACGCTGCAGGTTGAGTACAGTATGTGTGAGCATGGCATTAAACTTTCCTGCCTCCCTGCAGCCTTTTAGACGCACAAACAAACAAAAGATGTTCGCTACATTTCTGTAATTAGCATATAAATCAAATCGAAGGCAATCTCAGCCAGTGAAAGTGTGTTTGCCTGTGCTAACAAGATTTACGCAGCAGTCTTCTCTCCACCCGACTTCAGAAAACAACATCTCTGCTATTCATCAATGATACTTTGCCTCTATTGTCCTTATTAGGTTTACCCCTCTCTTGTGTGCAGCTCACAATGAAGAGGTTAAATTACCTGCATCCCATAATGAGATGAGGTTCTCCAAATATAGGCAAAGTTTGTAAAGTGCTGCAGCTACAGCCTAACCAGATTCAGAAAGTGCTAATGATGGAAAAACAATCAAGCTGCTCACTTTGTCCCCAGGCAACGATGAACGCCAGACCTCAGAGGATTCTGGATTCGGGGTCGCTCACGCAGTCGGCGCCGGCCAGCCCCACCAGTAAGGGCACGCATATCCACCAGGCAGGGTGAGGAAACATCACACAAACACACACACACACACAAATACCACAAAGCACAGGAAACACATTAAAGTTAAAATCCCTGCATGCATCGTCCATCATGCATGGAGTTCACTCAGCCTTTCATCAGGAAAAATATTGCTGCATGTTGAAATGTTCAAACCAGGAAGAGCTACAAAATAAAAGCATCTGGTGAATTTTTGTAAATTTTCTCAAAGTGAAGAGAAAAAAACTGCTGATTTTGTGTCGATCTAAATTAATTGAGGTGATTTTAATGTAAACATTTACAAAAAAGGATTTCTTTCCCCCTATTTTACAGACTTGTGTACTAGAGACAGCTTCAAAGAACATGTTCTGTATGTCATCCTGCAATTCGAGGAATTCATTATGATGGGGGTTTTGTTTAAAGTTAGAATCCGACTGTTGACACAAATTTGAGAATAAATGAGCAAATTTTCATTTAGAAACACATTAAATTTATTTTGTCTTCATGGCTGTGTCAGAAAAACAAATTCCATTTTGTTTGCTACAAATAGTCTTGAGTTGTGGCAGGGTTACGAGTCTTTCTCCTTTATGAAATGCAAACATCTCGCTCCCAACCAAGGACGTAATTTTCACTTTAGAAGTGGGGGGGACACGGGAGGGGGGGTATCTTGACAGTATGCTCTAATGGGAAACCGGCTTCAACACAAACGGTTGTTTTCCGCTTGGTCCTAGAGCTCAACCAGTGTCAATTTAATATAGTGTAATATTGTTTTGGGATGGTAAAAATTGCAGGGGTCAAAACTTGACTTTGGAAAAAGTGGGGGGGACATGTCCCCCCTGTCCCCCCCCAAAAGTTACGTCTATGCTCCCAACACCGTCACAAGTTGAGGTGGGCAGGGCCTTGAATATTAATTTACACTGTCACGTAGAAGAGACTGATTTGTCTAACCTGATTGTTCCTCGTCTCTTACCTTTCTGATGCCAACTCAGGCGATGGGAGTATGGGATTGGGCTGCAGTTAAGTGTTTTCTGAACATATGGGATCTGGTCCAAAGTCTAAAAAGATCGTTGTTTTTCTTCTCTGTTCCTTCAGCGGCTCTCCACCCATGCCGAGCACCAGCAGCTCCAGTCTGACCAATGAAGTTCCTAAACCTCCAGCCAGAGAGCAGCCAGCAACACGCCCCCCTTACACCCCAACACTAGGGGGGCAAGCGCCGCACTCACACCAGTTCCCCCGAACTCGTAAAATGTTTGATAAGGGACCAGAACAGGTAAAGGATCAAACGCCAGCCATACGGTAAGACGCTCCAAATCACACATTTAGTTTACTTGTATGTTTTCATTCAGGCTGCTGAAGACGGCGAAGAGTCGGCCGTTCACAGGAACTACATCAGCGCCGCCCTGCAGACGGGACTGTGTGATTGGAGCGCCAAGTATTTCGCTCAACCTGTCATGAAGGTAGCCATCTTTGATTTCTCCTCCTTTTCCCCAATAAGTGTCAGCAATTATAAGCTGAAAAATGATTTGACTCAGTCTGTAGTCAGAGAGTCTTCACCCTCAAAAAGCAAAAATATGCAACATGTCGTTTTTTCCTCACAGAAAAAACATCAAAATTCACTTTTGATGCCAAATCGACTGCATTCACGCAGCACTTACTCTAAACTACACACACACACAGATCCACTCACTCACTCACTCACTCACTCACTCTCTCTCTCTCTCTCTCTCTCTCTTTCTCACACACACACACACACACACACACACACACACACACGTACACGCACAGATCCACTGTCTCACACATACACACACATCCACTCCCTTACACACACACACACACACACACACACACAGATCCACTCACTCACGCACACATGTCCACTCTCACTCACTCACTGAGTCACTCACTCACTCACACACAAACACGTACGCACACACACACACGCACACACACACACACACACACACACACACACACACACACACACACACACACACACACACACGCACACGTACACGCACAGATCCACTGTCTCACACATACCTGTACACACACATCCACTCCCTTACACACACACACACACACACACAGATCCTCTCACTCACGCACACATGTCCACTCTCACTCACTCACTGACTCACACACACACAAACACGCACGCACACACACGCACACACACGCACACACACACACACACACACACACACACACACACACACACACACAACACACACACACACAGAACCACTCTCTCTCTCTCTCACACACACACACACACACACACACACACATCCACTCTCTTACACAAACATACAGATCCACTCACACACACACACATCCATTCACCCAGTCACACACACACACACACACACACACACACACACACACACACTCATACGCGTGCATCGCCCTTTTAATCACACAGAGTTTTCTTGTTGCTCCATCACAAATCGACAAAAAACATGGAAGGCCAGATGAACCTGTCACAGGAGCATTTTGGCATCTTGACTGGAGAAACTGGGATCAAACCACCAACTTTCCAATTGGCTCATCTTCCTGAGCTATCCTTTATCTTAGTTGCTAAGCAACAATGAATATGGATATGAGCCGTTTTTTTCCTCTTTTCACGTAGTTTTTTGAGTTTTCATCATTTCTGTTTGCTCATGCTGCTCTCTGCAGAGGTTTACAGACTGCATGGCACAAACAACAACAGGAACTCTGCATTAGAAGATTTATTTGAAATAGTAATGAACTGGGATGAAAAACAGCAAGATAGAGACCAGTCACAGTGAATATAAACCACCTGCCGCTCATTCAAGACTGCTTTACTTAATAGAGATCTCCGAGCCCCATAATGCAGCATCCTCCTCAGGGAAATTTAAGATTAGGAGAAGTGACTTTGTCATGTTGGTGGTTTTAGGGATATTTAGTCAAATCCCACACTCCCATCTCAAGCTCTTAACACGTTTCAAGAAAAATGACAAAATACAAGTTTGATTTTTTTGTTATATGTCACATCATACACAAAGATGTTTTTGACTCCTTTGAGTCAAAGAAAGACGGCACAAGAATTTAATAAGCATTGATAATTGGTGCTATTAATATTAGATTGATGTATATTTTCCCTGGCGATTGGGGGCTGTGCATACCTAAATCCTTGCAAGCAAATGGTATTTTTGTGTTCAAGTAAGAACTTACCAACGGAAGACCATTAGGGTTAAAAATCCCTTGGACAGCAACCTCCAGCAAAATAACAAACGCATCCGACTTCCTTTCATCACTGGCATCGAGCAAAGAGGTAAATGTGTAAAACAACAATGTTTATGAATGGTTTTGTAACCGTTTCTTACTAAATGCATTTTGTCCTCACGGGCCCCTGTAGAAGGAAACATAGCATCACCCAGAGACTCAGACCTGCTCCCATGTATTTTAGATTGAAATTAGAATTAGATCAGAGTAAAGCCTCAGTATAAGAACATTTTAGGGTCACACAGAAGGAGAAAAAAGAGAATCGTTTTACTTGAGGTCAAACGCTTAAATCCAGAATAAAGTTTTGTCCTTTGGGATTAAAAAAAGAACCTGCGCCAAAGTTCTACAAGACCCATAATGCATTGTGTAAATGAACTACACCAAGGCCCAATCTCAATACTCACACTGCGCCCTGCAGGCTTAAGCAAAGTGCACTTGGAGAAAGTGCACAGTAGGGTTCGAGTGCGTAGTGCAAACTATGCAAATAATTGCAGAATTGAGACAGGGAGCATTGCGTCATCGATCGCAACGCATGCCAGGAAGCTGGTTGCTGTGATACTTTTTTCAAAAACTTTTATTAACAACTTTTAAACAAACAGCCAAATTTATTGCTGCTTTGTCTAGAAGTTTTAGAGCACCAACTAATCGTCCTAAAATGAACTAATTTAATTAGAAATACATATTTTCATCAAAGGAACTTGAGCTTTTTCTCCGGCAGCAATGACTTGTGGGTAATACCCTTGCCCGAGGTCCGCATCGCTGCGGACTTGGGTGAAGTGCAGATTAAGGGTGCAACGGGGGCGTGGTCAACTTCTGCACTTGAGAATCGGGACACCCTACACACTCACACCCTTGGCCGGGAACGCACAATTGAAGGGCGCAAGGGTGCAAGTGCGAGTATTGGGATTGGGCCCAAATTAATAGGGAGCCTAATGGGCCATTCCCATCTGTACCGGGTCGGCCCGGGCCGGGTAGCGTTGGCTGTTTACATATCTGGGTGGCCTGGTATTTTTCCGGGCCAACCAAGGCTCATTCTCAGCCCTCTTCTCGAGGGGGTCTGCTTCAGGCCGACCAGGGCCAACACACCCACTGCTGACAGCAAATTCACACCTTCCATTAGAGCAAGCCTCTGATTGGTGGGTAGAATCAGCCCACATGGGCTTAAGACAAGGATGTGTGGAATCAACCGGGCCAGGCTGGCGCCGACTGGGGCTACCCGGCCCGGGCCGACCCGGTACAGATGGGAATGGCCCATACGTCACACCCATCTACTTCCGGACCATGGGTTCCCAGAAAAAATGGAAAATGAATGTAAGTAAACGGGGCTATAAAAGTTATTTTCTGATCCCCTTTGCCGTACGCCTTGAATCGCACATATGTTGTACTTCAATTTAAATGAAAGTAATTGTAAATTTAAGTAATGTGAGTTTCGACTGTCTGTCACGTAATTCAAGATTGATTAGCTTGTAAAAAATTTGTAACTAAAATGACTACAAACCAGATATCGCACCTATGATGTCACCATTGCCTCTTCTCCCCAGCATAGCGGCTACTTACCACACGGCCAGATTTAGAGTGGTTTGCTCCACGTTTAATGCTCCTTCTTTTGGCTTGGAAGAAGAATTTGAAGCTTGCTGAACTAGTCCTCTCCTCTTCTCCATGTCTGGTTCAATGACATCAATTTGGTGAGACGAACATTTGTAGTCCGGGACGTATTTTCACACAAACCTAAACGTTTTGCCACGGTTAGACAATAAGCGCCTCCTTGACATCAGAATGCGTCTTTAAAAATCACAGACATCATATGTGAAATCCATGGGACTTAACAACCAGGATTGGAAAATAACTTTTATAGCCTCATTGACTTGAATTCATTTTTCTCTTTTCTGGAGACCCATGAGCAAAGTGGAAAGGGAAGAGACTTAGGCTCTCTATACCAAATTAATACTAAGGAGCTTCTTTCAGCTCATACAACCATTTAGGCTGAAGCACGAGTTTTACTGTACTTAAATAAAATTTTACCTTTTTTACACATTTCAGCTGTTTTCCTTTATTTGTTTGTTCATTCATTTATGATGAAGGACTGAAGCAATCTATCGTGAAACAGGATATTTTTGACTGTTTTCTGAACATTTCAACTTTTATTGGGACATTTCTGGGGGGGGGGTAATGATATCCTGTTATTTAATCACTTTTAAAAATTATTTGTTAACAAGTCACTAAACCAACGTCTGATAATCTGAGAACAACCGTAGAACAGATCATTTTTTCACCTCTTTGAAACAACTCTGAATGAATGTAAATAATTGTTTTGTTAAGAAAAGAAAATCCGATCCAGCTTTCTGCTTTCTTTGGGTTTGCTTTGATCACTTTTTAATGCAGAATTGATCAGGAATACAAATGCAGCTGTAAAGCATGCAAAATTAAATGTACAGTAAAATAAAAAAAATCTAAATCAATCAAGGTTTCATGTTGTATAAAAAGCAGCGATCAACAGTGTTAATCTGAGCTTTTAAAGTGGCTAGTGTGGAATCAGACCCCAGTCCCAGAGGGACCTGATTCTAGCAGCAGACAACTTAATGGCGGAAAAGCTTTCACCTCGCTTGGTCTGAACTGTGGGGCACCATTAAGTCACCGTTCCCTGAAGATCTGAGGCACTTTGCAGACTTCACTTCACTACATACAATAAATCTCCTGTCCAGACCGTTGACATCCTCAGAGACAGAGTTGGGCTTTTCGGTTCAACTCTAAATTTGTGCAAAGCTAGAGAGATACATCCACCAATATGAAGAGTGTTTCTGTGTAAAAGTGATGAATAAAAACCCATCTTATTAAATCTTGCTGAACAGCCTTTGTTTGGAAAAACATTTTTACATCCTACAGGACTGATAAGCTAACAGCTAGTCTGAAAGCAGCCAATGCAAACAGGGTTTGTATTATGCTGCCATGGCAGCAGGAAGTATTGACTGGCCTAGTACCCCATTATTCAAAAGTAATACTTTTATGTTTCAGACAGAAATATTTATTTTTCTGTGTTCCATGTGAATTTACAAGACAAAGGCAATCGTCATTCTAACACTTTTGTAGTAACCCTACATGTTTTAGCTGTCTTTTGAGACCACGTTATTCATGCACATTTTGCAGTTGTAAAAATTAGCTCTGTGTGATTTTAATTTAGGACAGGAAGCAGGAAAAAAATGGCCGAACT